ATAGGGGGAAAAAAAGAACAGTTTGTACAAGGATGCACATGAACATCCAACTAATATTTTAAATACCTATTTTTTTAGGTCTTTTCACTGGACTTGAAACACCACGTTACCTAGTATCACTGATTGCCAGTTGTAGAATATGGACTATCCCAGCCTTGTTCACCCTCCTACTTCCTTTCTTCAAACTCAGAGGAACTGAGTGTCACAGTAAAGTGTGCTCGCTCACTCTGACTTTCTGCACATTCATATCTCATGTCTGCCCATTACAATTTTCACTATTGTAAAACTCACTTTTTTAAAAAAATGTACACTTCAGTGGCATTTAGTTGATTAAAGTGTTGTATGATTATCACTTCTTTCTCATTTTCTCTGCCACCACATACCTATTAAACCATTACTCTCCATTTCTCTCTTCTTTCTAACCCCTGGCAGCTGGTTAGCTCTGGATTTACATATTCTAGCTACTTTATATAAATGAAATTATATAATATCTACAATTTCTGAGACTCACCTCTTTCACACAGCATAATATTTTCAAGGATTATCTATATTGTATCATTAGTCAGTGATTCATTCCATTTTTTTAGTTGAATAATATCCCATGATAACAATGTTTTAGCAAATATCAGCTAATAGACATCATGGCTGTCACTACCATTCTCATTAAACTTTGTGGATGAAAAATCTATCCCTTTGTCACCCAGTCAGCTTCTTTATTAGTGGTGTGCCATCTAGTTGAAGCCAACTCATAACTGACCCTCCAGAGGTTTTCAGAGGTTGTAAATCACACAGGAGGAAAGTCTCCATCTTTATCTCCCAGAGCAAACTTCCTGCCTGTGTTGACAACACACCTTTCCCTCACTAGGCCACCAGAGCCTCCTTCATGTATTAGTATGAGGACTAATATAAAATATTTTAAAGGTTTATAACCTATCTTTTTCTCCTTCTGTAGTCAGTTTTATTCTAATTTACATATATAAAATGCATCCACTTTAAACATCCAGTTGGTGAATTTAAACAAATGTAAATACCCATGTTACCACTTCAAGATACAGAACACTCCCACCATCCCTTTGTGCCTTCTTGCAGTTATTTTTCCCTCCACCTTTCAGCAACCACTTATCTATATTCTGCCTCTGAAACCCACTAGAGGATCAGCTATGAGTTGGTCTGACTTGACAGTACACACCTTTTAATGGACATTAACTCATTTCCTATTAATTCTTTGCCAATTATGTTTCCTGTAAAAAGAGCAAGGGCCACATGAGGACAGCCACATCTGACTTTTATCAACTTCATAAAGGGGAGCTGTCCCCATCAATAGCATCAATAACAAACCAATTCCCATGAGGTCAGACATGTCTCTCACACTCCAATCCCTTTTTCTACCTAATCTCAACACCAGTCTTACTACTTTGCTGCATCCAAAATCCAGTGAAATAGCTCACAGACCACACAAAACCACGTTAGGGAAATCAAATGGTTATAATCCAAGTTAGTAGCAAAATACAGTCAGGGTAGCTCCTGAAATGTGCTCAGAGGCACCTCAGCGTTGAGCCTCATGGTTTTAGGACATTGTTACAGAGTCCTCTGTCCTACAAATATTGGCTGTCA